TGTTGTGGATGTTTGAATTGTTAAAACATGAATTTATTTTTTGTGTAGGTTACATGATTTTTGGTGAACTGGTGATCTATTGGAGCAGTTATAACTTTAATGTGTTTCATATGGTTTAAATTTAAAATAATTGTTATTGTATTTGTGTAATAATTATGATGGATTGATGTTCATACTTTCTTGTGTTTTATTGTAATTATTGTTGTAGTTGTTTTTGGTTTTAGTGTTATCGATTTATTGTATTCTTAAATTGGTGCATGTTATTTAATTGAATTATTAAAATGATCCAAAAATTAGTAGCTACAAAATTGTTTATCCGATTTTCTACCCAATTAATCGGGTAGGAATACCACACCTGATCAGGTAGGGTAGGCCAAGAAAAAAAAAATTCGTAAAGTATCGGGTACGAAGACGAAAGATTTTATTTCCTACCCATATGGTAGAGTGAACACCCTACTTAGAATGTCTAATCCATGTTTTACTTTGTCAACACTCCACCACTATCCCCTAACCTCTACAATTAGCCTATAAGCATGAAGGAGTGGAGGGAAAAAGAGGAGACACGTGGAGCAGGGGAGTGGGTGGAAAAGACTTGGAGGCTATACCTTGGCTGGCACTGGAAGAATCTTTGGACAACGTGTAACACACCAACCCGGGGTACAATATCTGTGATCCTTGCTTATTTTTCATACACCTTTCTTTATATAAAAATATGCATATAAAAAAAAAATTCATCACACCCCTTAGTGGTACGGCTTGCCATGAGCCTTGCTTATTTATAGACCGTAATATTGATATCAAGAATATGACATATAATAATACAATTTAAATTTAAAGGACATATAAAAATGAACCCCATGCTGACATCCCAATCAACCCTCTAGACTCGACAATGGACTCCTCACGTCTTTATGGTTTTTCCTGAAAAGTCCTTAAGACTATTAGTAAAAGCAAAAAGAGCACAACAAGTAATAAAGGAAACCTTATTTATTTAGGAACAACCTTAACCACATATCAGATACTTACTTACAAATTACACTTCACCTCATACACATTCGCTAACATCGCATAGACATAACCTGTATATGTCAGATCCGCAAAATATACAGCACATATATTTACTTCTACATAATTAAATTATTCCTCACAATGAATACCCCACACGCACACAAACTAATCGCCTTGTAAAGAACAACCGCCACTCAGGCTATATTTTGTTGTACAGATTTTTGTGCCACACAAGCCATATGCATTGAAAGCTTTTATCACCTTATAGATATCATTCGTTATTGGGACAACACAAACCACATTAATGGTTTTCCTTCAGACGACCTATATCACAGAGAGTTTTTGATCACGCACTTAGACAACTCTACTACATAATCAAATCCCATCACATACACGACTCAAGCCATATAAATAATTCATGTTACTTAGATGATCCAACTCACATAATCCTCTCTCGTCACTTAAACGAAACTTAAAACACTACCATATGTCTCTGCTCAATTCATTATTCTCAACAATAACTGTAGCAAAAATATATGTTTAAAAGTCTAAAAAATTACCACAAAAAAAGTTGTAGGGTGGGGCACTTACCTTGCGTGATGTTTTACTTGTAGACGACCCCTCCGCCAGAGCTTCTAATGCGGCATTTTTAGCGGTGTTCGTCTCCAAACCTGGCATAACCGATATTCACCATTCCATTCATACATTAATACGCAATACTACTTAAGTTTGAGATGGTTAACTCAAACCTAGTTTAATAGTTATGTCTTTTCGAATTAAATAATTTATTTATATTAAATAACATTATCTATTCGAATTGATTAAACCAATAGTTTGATAATCAACTAGAGTCAAGTTAAGTAATCAATTCACATCGAGTAAAATTATCTACTCGAATCAAATTTAGCTAATCTTCTTGAATCTATTTAGAAAATATTTATTCGAATCAATTACACCCAAATTTAACATTTTTCATAAAATTATAAACAAAACAAAATTATACTTAAATTTGCATAATTTTCTATTCAGGCATAAGATGACATGTTTACTTGTAATTACTCATATTCATGGATTCATGAAAATTCAAGAACAATTCACCAAATTTCTAAGCTACCCACTAAACTACTATGTTAATTTTTCAAGCAACACTCATGGTACTATGCATTCATAACAAGCATCCCAACAAACCCAAATGCAATAATTCTACTCTTCTATTTTTCATGCAACAACATTAACTTAATTTACAAACCCATATAAATATTGAGGTAAATCCTTCATGTATTAATCAAAGTTCTTACTAAGCATTATACTTAAAAGATACCATACTTTAAATACATGCAAAACTCAAAATATATATATTAGAGTTGGATTCCTATATCTTAGAGGAAGAAAATGGATTATAATTCTTACCTTTGCACCCACACTTTTTTTTCCTTCTCTTCTCTATTTTTTTATTCTTTCCTTCTTCTTCCCTTTCTTTCTTCTTCTTCTTTCCTTCTTGTTCTTGCCGAAAATGTCTAAGACTTCTTGTTTCTCTTTTTTTTTTTGCATGTCTTGCTAAGGGGAGACTTCCATCATTACTTATACACACACACACACACACATATATATATACATATATTTTCTTATATAATGTATATGTATACATACTTATATTTATATGTCCACTTTTTCTTTATATGCATATTTATACATAGACATGTCTATATATATATATATATATTCAAATTATTGATCACCCATTAAATTCGTATTTTAGACCCTTAACCACTCCTTGTATATACTAACACATTTTATTTTAATAATAATAAATTGATGTCACATGTTTGCCACCCAATTAATTCCACATGCGCCAACGTACATAAAATAATAAACTTATATTTGTCAACATTCTTATTTAACTGTTCACACTTGAATAAAACAATTCCCCCTATAATCATTATTTATAAATTATTTCTGAATATTAAAATTTTGATTGTTTAGATTTAGGTCTGATATCATTACTCGTAATTAAATACTGGTTGCCACTCCTACGGATGCATGTCACATATGAATATGTTTATTAAAAATATTACATGTTTGTTATGCTTGTTTGGGTTTTAAAATTTTTTCCTCTTTAGGAATTTTGTCCTCAAAATTTGGCTTATCAATCTGAAACAAGTAACGATATATATATATATATATTGTTTTCAACTATTTTAATTTTATATATGATGACTAAAATAAGTACTCGTATCTAAACCCCTGACATAAAACAAAATGCCTAATTAGTTTTCTCGGGTCTTACACAACGTCTCTCCAAGCAAGCTTTCTCAACACACTTTAGAGGAGAGAGAAGGGGATGGATGAAATATTCATGATTATTCACCATTACATGTAGCTTTTAGAGAGAGAAACTCCAAGAAAGAAGAAGATAGTTTTAGAGAGTGGAAGTTGAGTTTTTATATTTTCTTTTTCATTTTCATCCTAGTAAGTTTCTAAAGTTGTAATCTTCATTTCTAAACTTGATGTAACTTCCATTTCCAAGTATGAATGCATTTTGTTAGAGTTTTACGACAACAATTATTTTGGGGAAACTCCATTTTCAATGTTTGAGCTTTTATGCTTTAAACTCTATGTTCTTGGTGTTTGATCAAGGATTCAAGTTTTTGTAGCTCTTTCTTTGGTTAGTTTAAGTTAGTATTTGTTTCATTTCCAATGTTTTCCATGTTCTTTATCATTTTCATTCCATCTATGGCCGGCTAGAACATTAGTAGGTGAAATCCAAGGAAGGATTTCCATCCGGGTATGAAAAAATCAATCCTCACACACATTGTCTTCTAGTGTAGTGTGTTGAATTTGACTCGTTAGATTGCAATGTATAGATTTGTACACATTTGATACACCGTAGACTTGGCACGAGGAATGCTTATCGTCCCTTCAAACCTGTGCGAGTCAACCTTCTTATAAATCAGTTCAACACCAATACACACATTTGTTAACTCTTGGTTTTTAATTCCTATCTTCTGATTGAACAAAAGTACTTTTGAGTTCAATTGAGTTTACATGGGATTGATGAACCATACCCAGTGGAAAGAATTTTGAGGATTAGCTAACCCTTTTCATTGATAGATTTTCAACCCAGAATATCACGATTCACCAACATTTTCAAAGAACAAATTTTTATTTTTATTTTAAAAATCACTTTTGAAGCACTTGGTCTTCATCTTCCTTGAAGAGACGACCTAGGAATTTTTTCAGAGTTAATACACGATATAAGCCTCCTAGCGATTGGGGAGCAATTTTTGCATTATCATAATTTTGAGGGTACATCACTCTTAGCACTCACATACATTTCAACATACCCCTAAAAAAAACCCACCATGAGGAAAACAATCAAGTGGAAGGTCAACCGTTGTCTTCCTTGCCTATAAAAGTGTGCATGTTGATCCAAATTGTTGGATTATACTCTACAACTTTCTAAGCCATTCTTCCAAGCACATCTTTCTCCTTCTTTGCAAGTTATTCTTTCTTCCCCTCTATGGATACACCTACTTCATCTGTATTCAAACGTCGTGTTTTGCTTCTATTGGAAGACCCAACTAGGTTGCCTTCTTAGCTCCAGCACTGTCTCAAAGGCTAAGGCAGAGGCCATCAGGAGGCGTTACCAGTTTCCTGTTGGCATCTCTGTTCATGCCCCAACTTCTGATAAACATTGCAACCTTATTCTGGGAAAAAATGTTTGTTTCTTTGAGTCTATGTTGAAAGGCGAGCTGAGCTTCCTTATTCATGCATCTGTGAGGGAAATTTTTGCCTTTTTTGACCTTTGCCCCTCAAAATTCTCGCTAGAGGGATGGGGTCTTCTATTGTGCTTCTTCATCCTCTAACGTCTTCATGGCCATGACCATTTTTCTTCTCTTTTTGAATTTCTTCCCTTCTTCCGATTGGTCCATGACTTTCCCCCTTGCTTTATCACTTCACCTGGAGAGGTCAAGTCCCTGAGATGATTCTTGATGCTCCTGCTTCTCTTGAAGGATGACAACGATGCTTTTTCTTCATTTTTGAGAATGATTGGGAATTTGGTGGGACTTTTGTTGACACTCTTTGAGTCCCCTGCTTATGAGGATGCCCTTCAAACATGGGTAAAGGTTCTTTTATTTTTTTTTTCTAACCTGTAATTTCTTGTGGTGATGTCTAAGTTTCTTTTGGACCATTGTAAAGAAGGTCCCAAGGAAGTCTTCTGCCGAGGTCACAAGAGTCTACAACCTCTGCCAATTCAAGGTGATGCCCTTCAAAGTTCTGGTTACAGCCCATAACCTTTTCAAGTTTGGGCTTGGCCCTACCCCTGCTGTTGTTCCTACTATCATTTTTGCCCTAGTAGCTGAGGACGTTCTAAGAGCCTCCAACATCCAAAATGGAGGAGGAAATGAAGGTGCTTCTTCCTTTAGAAAAAGGCTTCAATGGTCATCGTCCAACCACCGGGGTGGAGTACCTATGGGAGACACAAGTCAACCAGCAACTCATTACAATAATGTTGCAACAAACACACAAAAGAGAGAAAGGAAAAGATGAAAGGAAGAGAATACCCAAAGAATAGTGGAACACCAGCGAACCAAACAAAGCAGAAAGAGGGCAAAACTTGACTTTCGACCACTGTTCTTGTTGTGAATAATAGGTAGACAGTCCCAAACTCCTTCAAATCACACCAAAATCCAACCAAATGCCTTGAAACCCCACAATCAGCCATCTAATCTTCCTAATCGCAATCTTTAGACTTGATTTGAAGTAAACAATTTGAAGAAATCAACCCAAATCGTAGATCAAAAAATAGGTCCAAAAATTTTGAAAAAAAATTCAAAAATTGAAAAACCTTATCCAATGGCCACGAAATCAAAAACCAAGCATACCATAATATTGCGCATGTAAAATCGAGTTTTTCAATGTCTTCATCTAGTCCAAAATGCTAGCGTCATCAAGACATCATCTTTGCTGCTCGCTAACGTCAGCCCTAACAACTTTTTTTCTCTCCTCTATTTTACTGCTACAGTATTGAAGATATTTAGAACCTAAACATGCTCTAATATCATGTTAATTTAGATCAAAGAAATAATGGAGAAAAGAGAAAGTGGAAATATTATTAAGAGAACAACAAATTTGAATTACAACTTACTGAAAAAATACATACAAGAGGCCCTTATGTAGTAGGGCAACATAAAAGAAAAAAAATGACTAAACTACTCTAACAACCCTATCCCATTGTCAATAGGGAATTTCATCGCAAGGTGGTACATGGAGGGGATGACCTTGATTGAATTCAATAATGGTCTTCCTAAAATAACAATGTAAGCAGAAGGTGCATCCGTGATAAGGAATCTTACTGTTGTGGTGGTCTAGTATGGGGGGCCTTCCACTATAAGTACGAGCTGAATTGATCCCAAAGGATATACCTTTTCTCCAAAGAATCCCAACAAATGCATCTTAATTGGCTTAAGCTTTTCTTTGCCAATTTTGAGCTTCTCAAAGGCTCCCAAGAAGATAATTTCGGATGAACTTCCATTGTCTACAAGGACCTGATGCACATTTTTGTTCACAGTGATGGCTTTCATGATCAAAAGCTCATCATGGGGAAGTTAACATTCCTCTAGATCAGCATCTGAGAAAGTGATCTCGAGCCCCTGACATGGGGCCTTTTGCATAGCTTAAACTTCCAAGAAATCTTCAGTCCTTACTTCCCTCACATGGGCCTTCCTACATGAATTTGACTCACCTCTACCTGCAAAGACACTGGAGATTATTATGATTTCTCTCAGGGCTTTTTGGTGCTACTATTGTCCCAGTTGGGGTTGCTCCTATTGAGGTTAGGGTCTATCTTCTCCATCTCGGGCTACAAAATGCCTGAGCTACCCCTTTGGATAAAAAATTTAATTTCTTTTTTGACTTAGTAAGAGTCATGTGTGTAGTGCCCATGATCGTGGTGGGAGTTGCAATACTTGGTGGGGTCCCTTTTGCGTGGGTTTGCCTTCATTTTAGCAAGCTATTTTATGTATCTCTCATTCTGTACCTGGTGTAGCACCTCAGCTACCGAGGTATTAAGTGGTGTGAACCGCTCAAGTGCATACCAAGGTTATAGATGCAGCTATTGGGGTCCCAAATGATCCTTCACGTTCCCTTTTTTTTTGGAGAGTGATCTCTCTATCTCTCTCTCTCTCCGTGGATATCGGTCTCGTTCTCGGCTATGTTTTTTGCGATCTCTTTCAAATTACTAGACTTCTTCCTCTTCTTGAGTGTTTTTCTAGTGTAGTAGTTGAGCCTCCCTTTGAAAGGAGAGCCTCCTCTCCATTGATTTATTTCTCAACTTTTGCTAGGACATCAGCCATGGAGGCCTTAGGATTTTTAGAAATAGAGAAGAGAAGGTCTTTAGACTAGGCGTGAAGGTTGTTAAGATGACATTTTCATCCAGTCCACCCAATTTGAGAGATTCTTGATTAAACCTCCTCATATAACTCCTTAGGGAGTCCCCTGGGTCCCTATTTAATGTTCAGTAGGTGGTAAGTTGGCTTCATTGAGGTCCTTGCTCCAATAAACTACGAGATGAATTGAATTGACAATTCTCTAAAAGATGAGATCGATGTCAGGACCAATCGATAGAACCAGGCTAGAGCTAATCCCTTTAGAGTAATAGTAAATACACGGCAACAGACAGGGTCATGGTACCCATGGAGTTCCATTTGATTCTTGCATGAGTTCAGATGGTCCATTGGTCCTTTGTCCTATCAAACATCTCGATATGGGGTACCTTGAACTTCAAAGGTAAAGGGAAGTGCAAAACTTCGGTAGTGAATGGTGACTTAGTCTTTTGGATTAGAACTTCCATAATGATTGGCACTTTGTTCTTGGCAACTTCTTTCACTTTACCTAAATCGTTCTAGATCTCTCTGTATCGTTGTTCCCAGAACTGGTATGCAACTCATTGCTTTGGAAGAGGTTGGTTTCTCCTTTGTCCTTTAGGTGTTTTGCTTTGGACTTTATCTTCATCTTTCCTATAATATTATTGCCTAAGTTTTTCCATAGATTGACTCTAATTATCCTCTGTTTTGTCAATCCTCTAGTCTTGAGGATCAATATGATTTCAAGGATTGAGGGGACTTTGAGGATAGTGGGGATCTTGAATCTGTGGAAGATTAGGAGACGGATTCTGTTGGTCTGGCTATAGGTTTTGGGCTTGGAGATTTTGGGTTTGAATGAGAGCGACCAACTTCTCATTCTGTCTAAGAAAACAGAGAAGGACTTGTTGATAAGTTTTTGGTTTCTCTCTACATGGGAGATTAGTCGCTTAAGAATTTAATAGAAGAGGGGTAGGAACCTCTTGTAGATTGGTGTTGTGGGTATTCATCAGTAGAAGAGGTGGGATCCTTTGACTATTTTTTGGGACTTAACTCATACTTTGAGTCTTGACCATCAAGTAATAAAGAAGATTGTTTCTTAAGGAAACAAAGAAATCTTCCTAAAGATGGCGTCAATTAATGATGTTGGGATTCAAAATGTGAGCTGGATGCTTGAACTGAAGAGTTCAAGGCTTGGTGATGCTGGTTTTGTGAGTGTGTAAAGGAAGGTGATTAAATTGAGATGGAGCTTAGTGGCTCCAGTAGGTGTTATAGTAAATACAGAGAAAGAGATCAAGTTGGAGAGTGAATGAGAACAGCTGTGAAGCTTGGCTAATCCACTCTAATAGAGTTTCTTGTTCTTGATGAAGTCGTGTATTACTTGGAGAAGAAGATTTGGTTACCGTATTTTTTTATGCCCCTTTACAAGTAAGGGCCTTAGTATTTATAAGAGATAGTGTGTCACCATCAAGTGGTCCCTGGTTTGTTAGAATTGTGTAGAGGGAATATTTGGACTATTTGAGTCTATATTTCCTAAGCTGTTAGAGGCTACATTATTTAGGAGTGACGTGGCTTTCTAGAACATGATGTGGTGGCAAGATGACATGTCTTCTAGCCTGGACATGAGATGATCTTGCACGCCTTTGGTAGAGGATGTCATTTGTTGAGTGTACTTTAGGGAGAGCTCTCCTCTTAAGGTTAGCTCGTGCACAGAGGATATCAGTTCAATCAGCAATCCCGAGCTTTTGATGTTGATCCTCTTCGGGGTTTCTATATTGGTAGCCTGAGTGGTTCTCCTTGTGGTCGCCTGGGCCACTCCTGGGTTTCTTTCCTTGGGTGGCCTTTGCAATATGACTCCATGATGGTCCAATTACTTGACCAGATCACGCTATCAAGTGGTGATTTTTTTTGGGTATCATCACTAACCTATTTTGCTACCCATAAATTTAGAGAAGATTGTGTATATTCAATATACATAGGGTACATCCAATATAGGGGTAATTGTTTGAAAGTTGAATTCTTTGCTTGTTTTGGTTTGTGTTTTTTGTTTATGAGTCTGAATTTTAGTTCTAATGCTCGTTGAAAAAATTAATCCATGGCCCAATTTAGACTGTTTCGTTTATCAAAGGAAAAAAAAAGTGCTAATTTTGTTTTACTTGATTAATATTTAGGACAAATTTCACTTTTTACCTTGAAAGATTTCAAGTTTCTCACTTTATGCCTCAAAGATTAAATTTTTCATATTGCACCCTCAACGAATCAAAAGTGATGCAATGTAGCCCTTCTGTTAGTTTTTTCGTCATTATTAATGGGTTGGCTTTTGACAAATAAAATAAAAGAAACTAACAANATATTGCACCCTCAACGAATCAAAAGTGATGCAATGTAGCCCTTCTGTTAGTTTTTTTGTCATTATTAATGGGTTGGCTTTTGACAAATAAAATAAAAGAAACTAACAAAAGGGTCACATTGCAACATTTTTTATATATTGAAGGTGAAATGTGAGAAATTTAATCTATGACAGTACTAAATGAGAAAATTGAAATCGTTCAAGGTGAAAAGTGCGAAAAGACAAAATATTTAAGATCAGAATTAAGTGCTTAAGGTTCATTTTATCTGCAGGCATTTGCAGATTGTAAATGATTGGTGGATCATTGTTCGTTGAAAGTGAAATTGATTTCGGTATGATATAGCAAAGGGGTGCCCGAACATGCTGGAACATAGCTTTGATACCACTTTGTTGGAACATAACTCTAACACTATTTGTTAGTTTTGCACGGCGGATAATTAACACAAATAATACTTGTTGGAAAATAGGAATTCAAAGATAGGAAAACAATAAAAATAAAATACAATGATATAACGTGATTCGACACATCATACCCACCTTGGTACACCATACTTACATCCATGGACCAAAAACCTTCATCGATGTATTATTCACTAAAAAACTAGTCATCTGGTACCTGATTACATAATACATACCCCTATTTATAGGGATAAAATATTTGTTCAACACTTCCACCGGGGCATATTCTTTCTCTTTGGATACAACCTCGGCCTTAACTACCGTATAGAAACAACTATTTGACAAGGCTTGGTCTCTACAGATTTTTGTTATCTCCTTCGGAGTGGGGAATTTCAATTTCTGGTGGTGGGTGGAATGCATAACTCCAAGTGAGTGCAACC